CTTATTCCAACGCGTTGAAACTCAACCGAGTCTCCATTCAGCGCAAACAAAATGGTCGATAAAAACACCTGCGAATCTGCGTGAGACACGAACTCACGCGTGAAAGCCTCGGCGGAGAGCTGAAATGCGGCAAAGACAGACTCCCGCAGTTCTGGAAAACTTAAAGAGCGTTCGTTAAACAACTTTAAAAACACAGCTAGGGAAGAAATTATAGCTGAGCTTAGGGGACTTACGAGATCGGAAGGAAGCGCACACTCCAGCCTTGCCCAACGAGAGACTTCACAGAGAAGTCGTGAAAGCAGCTTTAGGAGCCTGTGTTTTTCCTCCTCGGCGGCTTCCGTGCTCCAGGTGGGGTCCTCGGCCAGCGCCTTGAGGACCGCGCCGAGCGTCGTGCGCACCTTGTCCATCATCCACGCCGCCTCCGCCCCGCGCAGCGCCACGGAGCACGTCAAAAAAAGCCGCAGTATTAACTCGGTGGCGCGGATGGTGATCTCCCTTTCATAAAAACGGCAGGCGCTCACCGAAAGCACGTGATCGCAGGCGCTCATGACAAACCCAAAGCACCACGTCAGCCGCTCACTCTCCTGCAGGGACACAAATAATCCGGCAAGCGAAGCGCATCGCTCGAGGCAGGCGTTGACATCCACAGAGGTGAATTCTGAGGCGCCAATGTCAAAGGTCTCAAGAACTGGGGACCCCCGTTCTGAGAACGTGGCAGCAGAAATGCAACGAATCCAAAACCCGGCGATTCGCCCTCGCACATCCTCGTAAAACAGTTGACCACCAGTCACCATGTCCTCCGTCATCTGCGCAAGCCCCGATGACTGCAGAATGGAAACCACACCTTTGCTTTTCACGCTTGTCTCAAGTATGCGGCAACCGGCGAGTGCGACATCCTCATCAAAAGAAAATACCCGCAGTGAATGCATAACGCACGAAACAACGGCAACGACTCCGTGAGCAAAGAAACAAGGGCTCCCATCGTCGCTCTCGTCTGTGACGACGTAAACGGCCATGAATGTGCCAAACACCTCCAACAGAGCCGACACTAGAGCAGGGCTTGCCAGAGACAACCTTGGCACAAGCTCCTGCATAAGAAGCATGAGAGTAGAGATGATTTTGCATACGGGGTGCGATTCCGACATGATATTACAAGTAAAACATGATGGAATTGAAACCGACTCACCCTCGCAGGCATCAGCCAGAAAGGCATTAATAACTTTCAAAACGAGCCAAAGGCCTTCTTGAGCTTGAACACGTTCTTGACCAGACTGAGTTTCCATGCCAGCCTCGCGCCGCTGCAGCGTCTCCAATGTCAGGCACAATGCCGTTGCGGCTTGCGCTGGGTCTGACCGACCCAGGTGTCCCAAGAGGGAAACGTGGGACATTGTGAAGGTGTCAGCGAAGTGCTCGGGCTCCTCCGAGGAAAGGGCGTAAGGCAATTTGACCGACAAAAAGGCGTTGAACACCTCCAACCCTGCTGCAGAAATCATATCACGTGCGGCATCGTGGCAAGACAGCATGGTGGAAATTTTGAACAAACAACTCAAGGCTTCATCCAAAGCGGCCATGATGCCAGCATCGTCCGGAAATTTGCTGTCAAGTCCAATGAGGGTCCTCGCGAACAGAGACAGCTCCGATACGCAAGAGCGGAGCAAGTCATTAAAGACAAAGACCTCCGCCAGGTTCTCTACAATGCTCCGAATGCCAGAAAGGGCAAGTGGCAGACTGGTACGTGCCTCATCATTCTGCTCAACAAAGCCAAGCAACTTCCTTGTCATGAAACACGCAAGCGATAGAAATCTTTCGCCGTAATTCACCTTTTCAGAAACGCTCCATGACTCCATTGTAACGCTACAGAACTGACGCATGAGCTCCACAATCGTTAGCGGACGGACAAAAAAACCAGACACGTTACACTCAGAGTACCATTCGCGCAGAATGGAGTCTATGGGGACTCTTGCTCCCGGTGCGGAGACGCCCTCGAGAAGCAACGTGTGCCAGAGAGTGCCTGATACACGAAAGACATCGTTGCACGCATCCGCGGTCACGTCCTCCTCAAAAAAGCTGTAAGCCGACCACGACAGAATCGTACCAAGACACTGCAGGAGCACCTCAACGGTGCGACCAGTCTCTGAAGAGCCATTATTTGCGCAGCCCAAAAGAGCGTCAAGAAGACGCACTAAACCATCACACTCAAAGGCGGAGCGACACGCGCGATGAAACCGCAAGGGTTTTTCTCTCCCCTTCGAGGATGGATGGTACAAACCAAATTCCTCCACAAGGTGCATCACCATATGACGCACAAAGATGGTGCGCACTTCGCTTTGACGTTCGGCTACGAGAGACAGCACCTCAGCAACGACTTCGAAAAGAATTGGGGCCTCAACACCTCCGCCGGCGCCGGCGCAGCTAAGTTTTAACGCGACTGCCGCATCCAAGGCTGCCTCAGATAGCACGGAACGCCACGCAGGGGTCACAATTTGCTCTCCGTTTGACTCGACGTACTCCAAGAAGAAGCATATCAGTCGTCTGGTGTTTTCCCCCCACAAGAACTTGCAACGTGTGAGGTAAAACCGCAGAAGACGAAAGGCGGCAAAGTGCACATATGCCGCATCATGGCCCAGTAACTGGACGTCGCATCGAAGTATGTGAATTGTGTTCTCTGCCGCTGCCGGATCATCAATGGCTCGTAGAGAACGAATAACGCTCTCCGCCTCATTGTGCTTGCCTTCTTTAAGCGAATGCCCCGCATGCTGGAGCCCCTGAAGCAGAATGACGCTCATCTAACTCAAACGCAAGAACCCCCACCCCACCCAATAGTTATATATAAAGGGGAAAAAATGGTGGCAGATATTAATAAAGGCAGACAAAACCAACAGGAGGGGGGAAAAAAAACAGCAACAGGCAGGGACAGGTTAATGCCATTCGTAAGCTTCACGTACACATTGTATTGTACAATAAAATGTGCCACATATATGTTTCCGCGGCTTGGCATACTGCAAACCTTTCGCGCTCACTTAACTCTTGGAAATTAAGTAAACGTAATGGGGACAGGTAACAGTGTATTTGCATACGCCACAAGGTCTTGAAATATTTGCTGCTTAATCTCACGCGGCCCTGCATCTGTCGTGCACTGGAGAGCAGCAACGCGAAGTAGGGCCTTGACTGCCGTGTAATCGGTGTGTCGGCTGACCTCTTGAACAGCCTTCTTCCAGTCCTTAATAAACGCCTCGTCGACCTCACGACCCAGCAATTCCTCAAGGACCGACAGCTCAAACGCACTCTCCACCGCATGGGCGGTGTCGGTGGGGGAGCTCGACACTACCACTGGCGGCTGCCGTTTCCCCTCCATGGCCCTTGAAAAGGCGGTCACAAGAGAAAGCTGCCCATCGTGTGAGCGTTTTCGTCCACCCACCGCACTTCCTCCCGCGTGAAGGCCGGTGGCCTGAATTGTCATCCCACGAATGTCAGATACCACGACTTCCTTCACGCTCTTGAGACTCACAGTCCAAAGAACTCTTGATTCTGCATCGTTATCTAAGCCAAGCTCCCGCGCCCGCTCTTCATCGGTCATTGGTCGATCAAAAACAAGCATGGGTGCAAGGACATCCTTCACTCGAGATAGCATGAGCGACAGCTCAGAGCTTCGCAAAGGCGTTTCAAAGGCAATGGGAATGTGAAATTCAACACACCTTCCCCTCCCCATAAACTTTTGGGTTTCCTTTGGGTGCAGTGGATGACGTTCCAACAGAGTGACACGCAAGCCAGAGCTAGTGCAACCGCCTCGCTCCATTTTGCCGCAGACAACCTCTAGTATCTGTCTCACAATGCTCCACACATCATCCAGCGTGAGCGGCCTTACCGCATAGTTCATGGAGCAGCTGACGCTCGAAGGTCCTTTTTTGCCCAACATACGCTGGTTCTCCTCGTCACCTGTTCGGCACACTTGGCGTGTGTCAGTGCCCCGACAGAGGTTAAAGAAATTTTCCCCCGATTTCTGCCCCAGAGTCCGCTGGAGCTGCAGTTTAGAGAGCTTTTGCACATGGCAACAAAGGACATCGTCATCGCTGATGCTCATATCCTTCAAATATGGCCGCAACAATGGGCGCAGCTTCGCCATGGTACCTTCTCCGACTCCGTGAATCTCATTAAACGGCAACTGCGCCAAGAGCCCTGGTACATCTTGAGGTGGAATAAAGTATACTCCATTTGGCTTGGCATACCGTGTAGCAATGCGAGCAAGCATGATATTTGGCCCAATCCCACATGAGGCGGTGCAGTTTGTGGTGCTCTCCAAGGCATGGAGCACATCAGCGCAATAACGCTTCACCGTGTCGTAGTTCTCCGTGTCAAAAGCAATCATAACTTCATCGATGCTGTAAACTTCAATGGCGATACTCACTGCATCCGGAGAGAGCTCAAACAGGATACGGTAAAGAGTTTTAATCACCTCCTCACACCGTGGCAAGTCGTAACTCAAAACACACAACTCCGGACAAATTTCCTTCGCGGCATTCACGTACATGCCAGCACGCACACCAAACGACCTGGCAATATAATTGCTAGATGAGATGTCACTGTTGCCTTTTCCAGCGGCGATGCAGACTGGTTTGCCCCGCAGGTGCGCATTATCTTCCTTTGCCAACGCAACACTACAAAAGAAGGCATCCATGTCGAGATGCACGAATAGTGACTGTTGGGAGAGGGTGCCGTGGTTCCAGGTGGGGTGGGCCGCAAACCAAGCCTTGAAGAGGTCATGCGCCTTCGTTTTCCACTGCCCAATGAAGTGCAGCCGCGAGTGCTGCTGGAAGTGTCGTAGGCTATTGACCTGCTCACGATCCCACGCCGTCGCCTTGGACTCGTTCCCTTTCTCGTTCATCCTCCAGAAGGAACTCCGCAAACTGGTTAAACACAACCCGCGCTGTGTCGTCCACGGCAAACTGCTCACTTATGTCACGCAGTAGCACGTCCACAAAGCATGTAGGCAGCGTGAGTCCCTCCCTATCAGTCATCAAGACAGCTTCACAAGAGAGAGAGAGAGAAGAAAAAAAAACGAGGACGTAAAACCACAACAGCACGACAGCAATAGGAAATAAAGAAATAAATAAACACTGAAAGAAAACCAACAAGGAAACAACACGACAATTAAAAAAAATAAGTAAATAAGTAAATAAAATAACATATATATATATATGTATTGCGCGTCCCAATCTCTTCGCACAACGGCGGGGCGGAGAAACGGCTGGCCCGTTCTTTACATACGACGCAGGAAGAGACAAAGGTCACTCTTAGTGTACATACAGGACCACGTTCATCTTTCCATGCTTGTCGTCCGTGGGAAGTGAGGCAACTGTGGCGCCAGGGGTACGCTTCAAGTCTTCGCTTCTAATAAATAGAGAGGCAGTCGCAACCACGTTTCCCTCCTGATCGCTGACCTCAAAGTAGAGCACATTGCTCTCGTTCGTCAGGTGTCGAACCCACCTCATCGGCCGCAGGGGGAAGCAGACACGAAAGATGCGGCCGGCGGCGACCAAAGACTGTGCCTCATACATCTCGCATGTCACTCCCACGTTATCCACGGAGTCATACACTTTGATGAATGGCGGCTGCAATGCATCGCTTGTCATCAGGGCGATGCTGTGGAGCCGCACGACGAGTTCCGACCCAGACTCTTGCCCCATGGCACGCAAGGGAAGATGTGGTCGACGCAGAGCCTCCATAATGCCTTCACGTCCAACAAATTCCTCCACCACAATGGTGTCACGACCCCAGTAAAAATCGGTAAAAAATGACCCAAGCTGCTCTCTAGTTTTCACCTGTTGGGCGCGAAGACGCACCGCCACTGACGTCTCTTGACGACGAAAGTAGTCGATGAGCTCCTCCCTTGCAGTGAGAACCACGGGCTCCCGTAGTACTCCTCTCGTTCGCCATTCATCCGCACGCGAAAGCACACGGTCAAACAAGTCCTGAGTGGCGTTGTAAGCGTCGGTGGCTGCCTTTTTTATCCGGATTCGCCCCCGCTCCTCATGAGCCTCCAGCGACCGGAGTAACCGCTCTAATATCTCCCTGTCGACGACCTCCCTGCGGGACAGCGGCTCGGCAATGCCCAGCAATTCCACTTCTCGGCACTGAAATAGCTCCGTCAACGACATAAAGCGCAAGATGCATTGGCTTAGGCGGAGCTCCTCTGAGCAGTATGCCAGACGGTAACTTCGTCCCCACCTGCACGCCAATGCTCCCATAGTGAGTTCAGCCTCATTGATAATGTCTAGGCGGCCATCTAACTCATCCACCTCGCAGGCCCGCAGGTGCGGCAAAGCGTAGTCAAAGCTACCAAAAATAAATTCACGTCTCTCGCGTTCACACTGCGCCAGGACCGCCCGCTCAAGTTGTTCACGGTGCTCCGTGGCGCGGAACAAAATGCGCAACAAGTTGTCTTGACTTTCGGCCTGGAGTTCCAATCGGTTCCACGCCTCCACCTGCGCTAGGACAAAGGCGTAAGCACCCACACGACCCTCTACTTCCTCCTCGCGGAGAAGACCTCGTTTGCTCGCTTCCACACGCATTACTGACCTCAACTTGTGATCCGTGAAACGTCGATGCTCCTGTCGCACGTGAAGTGTACGCTGGGCTTCTTCCAAGCCCTCTAATGAGCCTACGTCTCGGCCACGCGGCGCACTCTCTTGTAGAACAATCTCTGACCACGCGGCGCTGGCCTCGAAGTCGACCTCAAGGCGGAGGCACTCCTCCTCATGGAGCAAGTGTTGAAGGTCGGCCTCCGCCACAGCCCTCACGTGCCCCTGCATCAGAGAAAGACGACATGCAGCCTCCATCTCCGTGATGGACGCGGCTCCCCGCAGCGCGGCCTCTATGCAGTGGTGAAGATAAAGCGAGGAACGCGCTTTTATGGACTCCCGTGCCTCCGCCTCAATAATCCGCTGACGTGCCGCGCGCTCTTCAAAATCCAACACCGTCGTAGCTCGAAGCATACGGCTCGACCAGACAAATTCCGAGTACCGCTTAAGTAGTACATTAAAATGTTCGCCTTCTTCTCTCCACAAGGCAGAGAGCGTATCAGCAACAAATTGAAAGAAAATATCACAAGCTGTCTCGCGGCATACAAGAGCACGCCGTTCGCGTTCCTGTCGCTCGTTAAGTGCGTTAAAACCAAATCGCCACTGGTCAAATACGCCGCGGCGCTCGTACAGTTCAAGTCGGTCTAAAATAGCGGCACCCTCGTTAGGGTACATTGTACGTTTAAATGCACCGCGCCATGTCGTTAAGAAACTCACTCGCATTGTCTGACGCTCCTCCATTTCTTTTCTTTCAATGATGCCACGAATATCTAGCTCTTTAGCAGGCAATAGAAGAAACCTTGAGGCTTGCTCCCGCCGCTGCGCGTCGTCCTGCAATTTCCGCCGCATGAGGGAGGCACGCATGACAGAGGTAACAACCAATCTTGCCGCGGCGTTCTCATGGTCATTTGCCAGCAAACTAAGTTTAAGCAAATAAAGTTTTTCCAACGAACACCGCTCACGCTCCTCGTCTGCAGTGAGCAACGCAAGATCAAGCGTAAACTTGGTTAGCCTCGAGCGGGCCGCCGAAGTAATCCGGCAAAACATTTGCAGCTGAAGCTCCATGTCAATCTCACGCCCCACTGCCAGGAAACGCCTCCGTTCAGTTTCCATGCGGCTTATGCCCTCTGCTTGCGTCAGGAGTCGACGAAGGCTTTGCTCCTTTAGTGCCAAAACTTCCAACTTGTGACACTTCCTAAACTCCGCTCTCTCCCCTCTCCACGCCAGCAGAAGTGAATATCTACCGCACATTTCACGTCCCACAAGACTTAGCAGGCTGGACTCATGGCGCAACACAGAAAGAGCTCCACGTGTCAAGGTTTGGCGGCAGCACTCCTCCTCCTCACGCACCGATGCCTGCTCCTCCGCGAGATATTGATAAGAGAGGAAGGCGTTAAGCAGTTTCACACGGCACCGTGTCTCCTGGCTTGTGACGACCCCTCGAATCTGGTACTCCGTCAAAAAAAGATCTTCCGCTGACCTGATCCCCTTCAGCTCCCGAATCACCTGCCGTGTCCTCCAATTTCCTTGGGTAGGCGTCACGCCTGCCAGTTTCACGGATCCGCCACGCGCGTCCGAGAGCATTTCGGTGAGAACGGCATGCAAGGGGTTATCGCCAGCTGCTGTGGCGGCTGTTGCAGGCATGGCTTCCCCGACACTGCCCCAGCGAGAATCGACCTTCAACGAACACAGAATAAAAGGAAAAAAAAAGAAGGGGGGGGGGAAAGGGGCATAAAAGAAGGAAATTACGTAAAAACCCACGCAACCTTGTAGAAACAAAGCCCAACGCACAAAAAAAAGAATGACATACCAACAACACATCAGGACAGAAACTTATCATGATTACCAAGCGCACTAAAGGTTCTTCATGGCTTAAAGAGGTTATCCCGCCGCTTGTAAAATGAACGAAGTCACCGACGCCCTCGTCTTTCCTCCACGGCACATCAACTCGCCTTACGGAAACAGAATGTCCGGTATAGGGTGGCGAGCTCCAACGCACCGCGGGCCAAATAAAGTCCCTTGTTTTTGCTCTGGTCTTTTTTATATTCCTCGTAGAAGGACTGGAATGTTTTGGAAAATTCCGTCACCTCCTCCATACCGTAGTACATGGCACGCTCGCGGACGTAAGAGGCCGGAACGACGTATTCGTCGCAGTCGACAAAGCCCTCCAATTCAAAACGATATTTTGTGCCCACGGCAAGTCTAGCCCCATCCCAGACGGGCTCCGAATCAAATTGCAGGGCAAACAGGCCGCTGCTTTCGGTTTGCCTCTCCCGCACACGCTCAGCAAAGACCTCGTCGTCCACTGTCGTGGCAATAAACACACCATTAGGCGCCAGTGCACCTGCTATTGCCGCCATTAACATGTCAATACGCTCCAGTGTGTCACATGCGTAGTGAAATGCGAATTGAATAGATACAATGTTAAATTTACCAAAATTCTCCGACGCCGGTAGCTCGCCACGAAGAAACTCCTCGCTGAAGCAATCTCTAACGCTGAAAACACAAACACAGTCTGCGCCTGATGCAAGCGTTTCGTAACGCTTCCGCGCCTCGGCGATGCACTCGGGAGAAACATCGTAGCAATCCAAAAAGGAAGCCTTCGTTAAACGCTGTCGTGGCAACTTTGCCGTGGCGAAACTCAATTCGGGGCTTTGGCAATGAAGCCACTTCCCAATATCACCGCCCCGTCCACTGGCCAGGTCAAGAACCTTTACGTTGGAACATCCCGCTTTATACTTTAAGTGATCCAGGGCAAATTGGATGAGACTTTTCTTTACATAGTTGTTGAAGAAACGGAAAGAGGACTCCTTGCTTGTCAAATCACCAGCTCGCTTTCTTGCTATATCGTCGTAGGAAGCAGCCGTTCTCCAGCTTTCCGTCATTATGCACCTTTCACTGATTACTCGGCAGACACATTGAAAGAAAAAAAAACAAGCATAAGA